CAGTGACAGGAATGTCAGAGCTTCTGCTGTTCCCCGCCAGGTCCCTGACGTCCTTTCCCTTTCTACTCTCTGGTGATGAGATTTGACAATTTGTTTGAATTCTCTGCGGGCTCGTTGAATCTTTCCTGCCTCATCTCCCTTCTCCTGCTAAACCCGCGCAGTGAGCTTTAGATTTTGGTGATTGTATTTTTCGGTTCTAAAAATTCCACTCGGTCCTGCTTTCTGTCTTCTCTTTCTTTGCCGAGACTTTCCATTTCCCGTTCACTTATAGCTGACCCTGGAAGAACACGGGGCCCCTTACGTGAGGATGTTTCCCAGTGACCCGCGCAGTCCAAACCTGTGTCCTTCCAGGGTCATTTCCGCGGCTGGGAATCGGGGTGTGCGAGCCGCCGACTGTAATCACGCACGATTTTCAGTTGTGCGGGAGGTCGGTGCCCCCAACCCCGCATCATTCAAGGGTCACCTGTACCCGGTGGACCTTTGTTGTTGTTTAATAACAGCTGCTTCAGAGTCTGCTCTGGCCTTTCCAGTCTCCGGGTCATGGTGGAGGTGACGTCTGACATCTCGTCCCACGTGGGCTGAGATGTTTCCGGCTCTCCCTATGCTGGGTAGCTTTGTATCCTGGATGTTTTAAATATTGCTGCGAGACTCTGGGCCTTGTTTGAGTTCTGTGGCGCATGTTGACATTTTGGCCTTAGCACATAATTGATTCAGTTGGGCTCAGGCTGCAAGTCCCAAGCAGCGTCTCTGGGTTGTGGTCTTGGTGTCAAAGCTTTTGCGGTGCCACACAGTGCTCTCCAGCTCTGTGCCGTGCGTGCCACTCAGGGGCCTGGGCAGCGGCTGTGCTGTAGTTCATGTCTCGGGGTCTTTGGAAGGCTGCCGAGGGCAGACTCACCCGTACACAGCTTGGAGGTGAGCCCGCCAGTCCATGAGCAGCTTCACTGGCCTGCTTTCCTGAGCACCCCTCTGCCAGCTGCCTGGTGACTTCCGGTTCCCTGGGGCTCCTCTTTGTGGTCTCTGGCCAGGAAGCTGGGACTTTATTTACTCGGCTCTGCCGCTGGCTCCCCGTGACTGCGCCTGCAACCGGAGCCAAGTGACGGAGACCGGACGGTGAGAGGGGACAGTAACGGGGCTTCGTTTCATTCTCTTGGGACTGGAGAGGAAGGGTCCCCAGCTCCCTTAAAGTTTCAGGCCCCCTTTGTCGCTGCTACTGCCAGCAGGATTGCCTGGGGCTGGAGTGTAAGGAATCACCGTGAGTCTTGGAGTCCCCCTTCCTACTGCCCAGCCAGAAAGAGGAGGCTGCCATGGCCCACTCACTGTCCCCACCTACCGCCCATCTCAGTTTTCAGGCTGCCCGAAGGCCAGGCTGGGGAATACCAATTTCCTGCTGTTATGAATTCTGGTCTTTTCCCCAGTTCACCTTCTACTACAGACTTTTCTGAGTCCTCAAATAGCTTTTCTGTGACTCCGTCCGCGGGCCCTAGTTGCTTCCAGCGGGAGCCACAGGGTGCGATGGTGCGCTTTGTCTTGCCCAGAACCAGAACTTGTGTGCTTTTTAAAAAACAGACACGCACGCACACACGCGCACGCATGCACGCGCACGCGCGCACACACACACACACACACACACTTGCTTAAAAATGGATCGAGAGGCGCAGGCCTGGAAAGATACCCGAGCATCGCTCCAGGGCAGTGGGAAGGTGCAGCCGTTCTCGGCGGCGGGCTCCGCGTGGCCCGCAGCCATGCGCGTGCGAATCCAGACACGGGAGACGAGCTGCGGTCTGCGTTTCAAACCCGATTTGAGCAGAGTCTTCTCCTCTGGCCTCAAATCGTTCACGGGAGCTGGCGGACACCCTACACTTACCCGTAGAGATCTAGCCGTCTCTCAAACACGCGCTGACATCTAAGACCTTTCTCGAGTTTCTCTAAAAGCTTGGTCTGCACAGCGCTCTGCACAGCACATCTGCAGGGAGACGAGGTGTGAGACCAGGCGTCCCAAGGGCTTGCCAACAGCTGCCACCATCATCGAAATGGCAGTAACGTTTCTTATTAGTGTTATTAATTACTTACGAGGGACATTATTTCATTGTGCTCTGTGACTATGTTGTACATTATAATTAATACTATTTGTTGAATTAATACCGTTCATATTGATGTTTAGAATGACATTCATCATTATTATTATTATTATTTTGATCATGACGAAATACCAAACTGATGGTGGGTGACCTGGACCGCTCGTCTGGCCCTCTCTGCCCCGGGCCACACTGCAGGTGTGCTGTGCACAGAGGCTGTGATTATTACGCTGTGGACGGTGACCCTTGGCTGGGCGCTGAGGGCGGGGCCGCATCCCAGATCTCATTTATCCATCGCGACAGCCCAGGGGAGGCGGGACTGTCGTCATCCCATTCTAGGGATCACGGTCTCGCTCAAGGCCCCGCAGTCAGCCCCGGAACCGCGTGGCACACAGGGCGTCGTGCTTCTGGGCAGTCCCTGGGGCGGGCCCTCCTCCTCCCCACCCTGAGGCCGCCATCCTCCCTCTGTGAAATGGTGGGGGGGGACGTGAGCCCCGAGGCCCCTCCGGCCCTCCAGTTCTGACCCTCATCGTTTCTGAGCCACAGTTACCTGCCAAGTCAAGAAATATGTCCTTTAATTTGTTTTAAGATTTCTCCCGCGCTTCAAGGGGCATCCAGTACCTTTTTCATCTCTTCCCGGTGGAGACAGGATTTCAAGAGTAGAGGTGAAGCTCCTAATTATGTGCTTTGGTTGTTCAGAAACAAAACAAACCCTCATCCAGAATAA